AGAACATCTAAATAAATCATAGGATTGTCTAAATTTTTTAAAATTATAATTGCAGACACTATTCTTGATTAAAAATGTTGTCATTTTCTGGTTGGACACGGTGGCTCACGCCTGTAATCCCAGCACTTTGGAAGGCTGAGGTGGGGGGATCACCTGAGGTCAGGAGGTTGAGACTAGCCTAGCCAACTTGGTGAAACCCTGTCTATACTAAAAACACAAAAATTAGTGGGGCATGGTGGTGGGCCCCTGTACTCCCAGCTACTCTGGAGGCTGAGGCAGGAGAATTCGTTGAACCCAGGAGGCAGAGATTGTAATTAGCCGAGATCACATCAGTTGCATTCCAGTGTGGGCGATGAGTGAAACCCCATCTCAAAAAAAATAAAGAATTTTAGTCATTTTCTGAAACTCTTTAGAAATTTCCCAAAACAGATTGTTGGTTCTCTTTGTTGTGAAAGAATATTTATAAAGAAATATATTGATTTCTGAAATCCTTGCTCATGTAAAGAAAAGAAATGATAAATGGGCTTTTAAAAAAATTTAGTAATTTTATAAGAAAACTATTTTTGAACTATGGACATTAATATGAATAAGTTGGCCAGGGACAGTGGCTCACGCCTGTAACCCCAGGACTTTGGGAGGCCAAGGCAGGCGGATCACCTGAGGTCAGGAGTTTGAGACCAGCCTGGCCAACATGTCGAAACCCTGTCTCTACTGAAAATACAAAAATTAGCAGGTCATGGTGGCATGCACCTCTCTAATCCCAGCTACTCAGGAGCCTGAGGCAGGAGAATCGCTTGAACCTGGGAGGCGGAGGTTGCAGTCGGCCAAGATCGTGCCATTGCACTCCAGCCTGGGTAACAGAGCAACTCCGTCTCAAAAAAAATTAATAAATAAAATAAGCTAAAAGATTGTGGAATCTTCATTTCTAAAGAATGTAAATCATTGATGAATGTTATAAAATCTAATTAAAGTGGTGTGAATTTTACTTTTCTCTGCTATTAGAAAAGATCTCTTCATGATTAGAATTTAAAATGAGGTGTGCTGATACTTGAAATGACAATCCCCACTGCATGCTACTTCCTCTTCCTGTCAGAAGGAATGGGTGGGAATCTTCATGAGAGATAATGGTAAATCAGATTTCACTGAGATCAAATAAGTTGTTTTTAGGTTTTGTGAGGGGTTGAGCAGAGGTCGTCATAGTCACTTGTTTGATTTGATGCCATTGGTGGAGTTTTAAATGCATAGTGTGGAAGGGAATGAGCACTTATCAGAACAGAAGGAAATGTGTGGTTAAACGGTTTCAGCTGCAACTGTAGACTATTTCCCTTGGTCCTAATAGGAGGAGAAATGGAACCTTTTGTATTTTGGTTATTTTCCAATATAAGTAGAAACTGGTTCAGTGTGGCCTATTGCAGCCTTTAGCAGAAATGATTGGGTTCAGTAGTGAAGGGGAATGACACAAATATGTACTAGGAAGGCATAATTTTTTTTTTTTTTTTTTTTTTAAGACAGAGTCTTGCTCTGTCTCCTAGGCTAGAGTGCAGTGGTACAACCTTAGCTCACTGCAACCTCTGCCTCCCAGGTTCAAGCGATTTTCCTGCCTCAGCCTCCCAAGTAGCTGAGACTATAGGCATGCACCCCAACACCCAGCTAAGTTTTGTATTTTTAGTAGAGACAGAGTTTCACCATGTTGGCCAGACTGGTCTTGAACTCCTGACCTCCTGCCTTGGCCTCCCAAAGGGCTTGGATTACAGATATGAGCCCAATCAGAAGACATAAATTCTGTGAGTACTATTTTAAAGGTATCTGGGTAATTTTTGTAGCATGTTTATAATTGACTGGAAGTCAGTAATTGTTATTAAACATCTCTAAAAACAAAAGAATCTAAGACTCTGAAGAGACTACTGAAATGAGTTTAAAAAAAAATTGTTTCCAGCTTTTCCCTCAAAATGAGAAACTGTTTTACTAATTTTTATGTAATTATATAGGTGATAAATAATGCCAGATTTTAGCCCACAAAGCACTGGATTTCCCAAAGGAAATATATTTGATGCAGGTAAATGAAAAGCCTTGTTAACAAAGATGTATTTGATAATCTGCAGTTTTGAAAACTCACTGAAGAATTCCCGCTTCCTCTGCATTTAAAAAATCTTGTTCAAGCCAGTAAATATTAACCAATGCAGGTTCATTCAGAAGCTCATGTTTAAACGAAGTAGAAAAAACCTAAAATTATGGGTTGGTTGGTTTTTGCGATGGAATCTAGCTCCGTTACCCAGGCTGGAGTGCACTGGTGCAATCTTGGCTCACTGAAACCTCCGCCTCCCGGGTTTAAGCAATTCTCCTGCCTCAGCCTCCGGAGTAGCTTGGATTACAGGCGCCTGCCAGCACGCCCAGCTAATTTTTGTGTTTTTAGTAGAGACAGGGTTTCACTGTGTTGGCCAGGCTGGTCTTGAACTCCTGACCTCGTGATCTGCCTGCCTCAGCCTCCCAAAGTACTGGGATTACAAGCGTGAGCCACTGCACCCAGCCCTAAAATTATGTTTTTAAAAGTAGCTATTAGGTTAGTGTGGTATTAGGAGTGGGAAGATTGTAGGAACTGTAATAAATTTACATTATTTATCTGGATCACAATAACATATTCATCTTAGGGTAATTAGCACCATCCTTTCTGGGTAGATAATTACTCTTGGAAACAATTTTATTTTAAGCCAATATGAGAGTTAATGTAGCGATCAAAAATGATCTAAATTTTGGTATGATGTATACCTAAAGCATTTTTTGTTCTAGAGTTATTTACTTGAAAAAGATTGGTGAAGAAATTGGGTATTTTTTTCCAGAAGAAAAGTTAATGCAAGTGTAAAACCTCAATTAATTCCACAGAGTAAGGATGTAGGAAATTTTTTTCTTTTTTTTTTAAGATTAATCACACTCTGTCACCCAGGCTGGAGTGCAGTGGTACTATCTCTGCTCACTGCAACCTCTGCCTCCCGAGTTCAAGTGGTTGTCTTGCCTCAGCCTCTCGAGTAGCTGGGATTGTAGCCGTGTGCCACCATGCCCAGCTAATTTTTGCATTTTCAGTAGAGATGGGGTTTTGCCATGTTGGCCAGGCTGGTCTCGAACTCCTGACTGAGCTCAGGTGATCCGCCTGCCTTGGCCTCCCAAAGTGCTGAGATTACAGGCGTGAGCCACTGCACCCAGCCAGAATATAAAAGTTTTTTCTTTCTTTCTTTCTTTTTTTTTTTTGAGATGGAGTTTTACTCTTGTTACCCAGGCTGGAGTGCAATGGCACGATCTTGCTCATCACAGCCTCCACCTCCTAGGTTCAAGCAATTCTCCTGCCTCAGCCTTCTGAGTAGCTGAGATTATATACATGTGCCACCATGCCCAGCTAATTTTGAATTTTTAGTAGAGATGGAGTTTCTCCATGTTGGTCAGGCTGGTCTAGAACTCCTGACCTTAGGTGAGCCACTGTGCCTGGCCGGATGTAGGAGTTTTCTGATAAAGCTGAAGGTTCACCAGATGAGAGATACTTTTGGTTTCAGCTGTCTTGAAGATCTTTTTAAAATTTATTGATACTTTTTAAAACCTCAGTGCATAAAGTATAGTGAACATATTTAATTTGTCAGTGACGTGAAATGTTACAATATCCCAGGATATTCATTTTCATTATTTCTCTAATGTATAAGCAGATGTACTTGTTGGATGTGATATAATAGGAAGGCTAGCTAATTTTCTCATCTAAAGGTACTATGTGTAAGGAATAAATATATTTCATTTATTAAGAATTCAAGATGCTTGGTTAAGTTTATTAATTTTTTTACTTTTTAGAAGTGAGGTTTCTTTATGTCACCCAGGCAGGTCTTAAACTCCTGGCCTCAGGTGATCCGCACAGTTTGGCCTCCAAAGTACTGGGATAACAGGCATGAGCCACTGGTGCCTGGCCTTATTGTCTGACTTGATTTTGTTATACTATTTAAGAATTTCAACAGGGAGTTGAAATAAGTGGATTTTAGGTTAACTTACTAGTTTCTAGACAAATGATTCATACTACATATAGTCAAGCCCTGTGACCTTAAAACTTTTCTATATTTAAAAGACTGATTCAGCTTACTGTTGCAGATTGGGAAAAGTCAAAAATAAATAAATAGAAGACTGTGAAATAGCTTGAATTAAATTCCATAAATTCCATTTAAAGGATAACAGTGGTTTGCCCTGTATTATTTATGGACACCTAAAGATAACCACATACTACTCAATGTGGTATAATAGTAAATATTACATTAGTTAAGGTTTTTTGGTTAAAAGCAGTAGAAGTCAACTCTGGTTAACAAGACAGAAAAAGAAAAAAAGATTAGTTATCAGGAAATGATGAGATAGCCTGTAAAACTGAAGGGAAGTGTCAAGAGCCTGACCCTGCGTGGCTCCAGGAACCCACGTTGAGGGAAGCAGTGCTGCATGCTCTCTTCAGAGGGTGGTGGCTTCCAGTTGTTTTTCATATTTCTACCCAACATTCAAAAATCAAAGTGTCTGGCTGGATGTGGTAGCTCACATCTATAATCCTAGCACTTTTGGAGGCCAAGGTGGGCTGATTGCCTTAATTAAGGAGTTCGAGACTATCCTGGGCAACATGGTGAAACCTCTTCTCTACTGAAAATAGAAACAAAACAAAAAATTAGCAAGGTGTGGTGGTGAGCACCTGTAATCCCAGCCACTCAGGAGTCCGAGGCAGGAGAATTGCTTGAACCTGGGAGGCAGAGGTTGCAGTGAGCCGAGATCATGCCACTGCACTCCAGTTTGGGCAACACAGATACCATCTCAGTCAGTCAGTCAGTCAATAAAGACTGTGGTCACAAGATACGGTTTATGCATATACTTTACTGTGATTTTTAATTTTATCATTTTATTCATATTTACAGAGTTTATATAAATAAGTTTAATCTTTTTTTTATCATGTGTATGATGGTTTTCAATTGCTTGTGTCGTTCGTTTCTCTGTCTTAGGTATATTTGAAGGCTCCCATGATTCTGAATGGAGTCTGTGTTATCTGGAAAGGCTGGATTGATCTCCAGAGACTGGATGGTATGGGCTGTCTGGAGTTTGATGAGGAGCGAGCCCAGGTAGGGTGACTTCAGGCTATATTGAGCATGGTCCCTTTATTTAGTCCCTAATTTTTCCTTTGTCTGGGTGCCTATTTTACCCAGTCTTTAAGAGTAAGTATAGAAAGTATTATGTTCAAGCAGTATTGAGGAATCCTGAAAACGTTGAAACTCGAATTCTGATCCTGATTTTCTTGAGACTCGAATTCTGATCCTGATTTTGGGAAAGTTTTTTCTTCAGCAGTTCTAAATTTCATTGGATTATTTGTATCTGCTCAGTGGGTGCTCCAAAGTCCAGTAAGTAGTTCTTTAAAATATTTGTTCTTCATATTTGGAACATTATGAATAGGGGAAAAAATACGGTTCAAAATAAAATGTAGGAGCTGCACTTTTGGAATGCTTGAGTGAGGAGCTCAACAAGTCCTCTCCCCAGAAAGCAATGATAAAACTTGACAAAAATTGTTTTTTTCTTTTAAAAAAAAAAAAAAAAGGGAAGAGAGAAGCTGGACATGGTGGCTAGCACCTGTAATCCCAGCACTTTGGGAGGCTGAGGCAGATGGATCACCTGAGACTTGAAGTCAGGATTTTGAGACCAGCCTGGACAACACGGTGAAACCCCATTTCTACTAAAAATATAAAAATCAGCCAGGCGCGGTGGTGCACACCTGTAATCCCAGCTACTTGGGAGGCTGAGGCACGAGAATTGATCGAACCCGGGAGGTGGGGATTGCGCAGAGCCGAGATTGTACCACTGCTCTCACTGCTCCCCAGCCTGAGCGGCAGAACAAGACTCTGTCTCAACCCTAACAACAACAAACCGCACCCATTTAAGTCCTCATGGAAGCTATTGAATCTCAGTTAAGATCAGTGACAGTCTGTGGCATTTTAGTCAAGAGTTGCTCTCTCCCCAGCTCTGTGGTCCCTTGGATTCTTCCCTGGGCAGTCAGGGTAAGCCATGAGCACTGGTAGATCTGTTGTCCTGTCAGGAGAGAGCTGACTTTATTAAAAGCTTGTTGAGTGAGGAACTCATAAAAAAAAACAAAACAGTTTTTAAAGAGACAGGGTCAACCTCTGTTACCCAGGCTTGAATGCAGTGGTACAATCATAGCTCACTGAAGCCTCAAACTCCTGGGCTCAAGTGATCCTCCTATCTCAGTCTCCCAAAGTGCCGGGATTATAGGTGTGAGCCACAATGCCTGACCTGGTTTTACAGTTTCTTGTGGTGTTTTTAACATGTCATCCCACAACCTTTTCCCAGAAAAAAATCCATGCCCAGGCATATTGTTTAAAATGATAGAGGTCTGATTGGCAAACAATCTGGCAAAGCTAATGTTGCAGAAAACAACAAAGTGGCATACCAGCCAGAAATTTATCAAGATTAAGGGAAAGAGATAGGTAAAGTAGACCCTACTAAGATTACACTCATTTCATCCAGAAAGCTGTGTGCATGTACAAGGCTACACCTGCTCTTAGGAGAACACAGAAGGCCCTTGCAGGCTACTTTTCCCTGGGTGAACACAAGGTAGACTGGTAAACTCCCTGAACTTTGAAAGCATTTCCTCAAGCCACACATAAGTCCAGTGGCAAAAGATGGAAGTCCGCTGACTCAAGGTGTTTGGGCAAAACCCCTGACCAGTCATTGGCTGACAGCTGAACTATGCTGACCCAGAGACAACCTCCCAGAAAGCAAGATTAAAAAGACAGCTGTGCGCAGTGGCTGATGCCTATAATCCCAGGCATTTTGGGAGGCCAAGGTGGGAGGATCACATGAGTCCAAGAGTTAAAGACCAGCCTGGGCAACATGGTGAGACCTCATCTCCGCAAAAAAAAATTTAAAAATTAACCAGGTGTGATGGCATGTGCCTATAATCCTAGCTACTTGGGAGGCTGATCTGGGAGGATCACTTGAGTCTAGGAGTTCAAGACTACAGTGAACTGCAATCATGCCAGTGCACTGCAGCCTGGGCAACAAAGTGAGATTCTTTCTCTAAAAAGAAAAAGAGCTGAGCAGTCACATTGGAGGCTCTACACTGCTGAGGAAAACAGACTCCACAGAATTTTTGGCTATTATTCCTTCAAGTAAAAAAGTTCACAGACTAAATAGCAGATAAGAGCTGACATATGAACAAGAAAATGAACAGTGTCTTGGGGACCTGTGGGACACGAGCACACATGATGAAAGTTTCAGGAGAGGAAAAAAGGCAGAAGATATATTTTAAGAAATAAGAGCCAGGCCAGACGCAGTGGCTCACACCTGTAATCCCAGCACTTTGGGAGGCCGAGGTGGGCGGATCACAAGGTCAAGAGTTCAAGAGCAGCCTGGCCAATATGGTAAAACCCGTCTCTACTAAAAATACAAAAATTTGCCAGGCATGGTGGCAGGTGCCTATAGTCCCAACTACTCGGGAGGCTGAGGCAGGAGAATTGCTTGAACCCAGGAGGCAGAGGTTGCGGTGAGCTGAGATCACCCCACTGCACTCAAGCCTGGGCGACAGAGCGAGACTCCATCTCAAAAA